ATGGACTGTCTTCAAAGCCTTGTTACTGATGTCTAAGATTTGCTGACTTGTTTGCAGAAAGCTTAATGTTTTCCTGGAATGTATACTTAGAGTATTCCTTAATTTGACAAAGGTTGATGTCTCACTATCTTAGATGGTAACATTTTACTAAAATGTTCTTCTTGGAAATTTTGAAATGATTTTCCTAAAATGGAAGAAGCCAAAGAATTGGATTCATGAACGGTCATGAGAAGAAGGATCTCTGCCTAAGGAGACTATGTTTACATCCATGTTTTTAATCTGTAACAGCATTCATCCCTGGTGGTTCTGATTGGATAGGGGTGTGTGTATGAGTGCGCACGCACGTGCATATGTGTTTAGGGAAGTACTTAGTAAAATAGTCTGTGATATCCAATTTCTGTTGAATAAAAACTAAACCCAAAGGCCTATCCCATAGATCTATAAAACAAATGATCTACACAACAGCCCATGAGCAGAATCAAGAGCATAGAGTAAGGCTGGGTTTACACACAGGTTCCAGAAACAAACAGCCCTTCCCCTCCACGCTTCTCATTCAGATAGAATCTCACATTAAAATGCATAGCACACAAATAATAGAGCACAGGAACATGGCTAAGCAGATGAGTCCTGTGGACACAGGCCCAGGAACGGTATAGCTGGGTCATTTTGTAGATCTGTTTTTAGCTTTCTGAGAATCCGCTACACTGATTTCCAGAGGGTTGTTCCACTTTACAGTTGCACCAATGAGAATGAGGGTCCTCTGGCCCCACATCTTTACCAGCATTTACTGTCATTTTATTTTATTTTTTTGATCTTAGACTTCTGGCTGGGCTAAGATGAACTCTCAAAGAGGTTTTAATTTTCATTTCCTTAATTGCCCAGGATGTTGACCATTTATAAAGATATTTCTTAGCCATTTTCATTCCTTCTTATTAAGATTCAAAGCTCACTTTTAAATTGATATTTTTCTTGATTATCTTTTTTTTTTGGTTTGTTTGGGTTTTTTTTTTTGAGTTATTTGTATAGTCTGGAGGATAATCCTTGCTTTTGGGGGGATATTCAATCACAGTGAGAACTCCAAGTTCCACGGTGTGAAAAGGTGCTATGCGAGCTGCCAAGGGAGAAAAGCGAACCCTAGGCCTTTCCTAGCTGGGACACTTAGGAACCACAGTAATGGGCAGCCTAGCCAGATATTCCCAATAGTGCTGTCGTGGCTTTTATTTTGGCAATAACCACCAGTTGTCTAATTGGAATCAAGGCTGACTCAACAGGAGAGAATACATGTCTGCTACTGTAAACCCAGTCCACTGTCTGTCTGTCCTTGGAGTGATCACAGACCCTAGAGGAGAACCCACTTCTGCCACTTTCCTAAGCCAATGTAATTTCTAACTGTATTGTAAATATTTATGTTTATACACAGAGACGAGAGTAGTTCTCATGCCTCTTCAAAGGTGCTTCTTTTGCAGCAGATAGAGTCTGCTACAAAGACCTACAACTGGTCACAACACAGAAAATAAGTGACTGTGGGGTACCTGTCCCTAACTGTTACATCTGCATCACAATTCCTTCACTAAGGCTCAGAGAAAATTCTGGACGATGAACCCCCCCCCCAAAAAAAAAAGAGTAAGAACCAGAGGACTAGGATGCCTGCTGCCAATAGCGTCATCTCTAGATACAGCATGAAGCTACACCCTGCTGCTGAGAGAGGGAGGATTAGTCTTCTCCAGAGGTGAGCCCCCGATAGGTTGGTTATTCAGTCCTAAGTGAGCAGTCTCAAATATTATAATAAACCCAATTGGTACGTGAAGCTATTCTTCATTTAAACTATTTAATAAAAGATCTGAAACCTCAGTATCTCAACAAATCCCACAAACTTCTCTCAGGGAAGCAAGCAGTGTAGCCTTTCATCTAAAGCAACTAAATTTAGTCATGTTATCAGTTCATTAATGTAGGTCACCTCAGTGTCACCATGCCCCGCTACTCTCTGCTTTCTATAAAGGTCAGTTACCTATGGAGACACATTCTAACACTCCCAGTGAATTCACGAAGCCATGGTAATCCAAAGCCTTTTATATGTAGTATTTTTCCTTTACATAGAGATCTGTAATACAGCTGAATTTATAATTTATGCACTGTAAGATATTAGAAAAACAATAAAATTGAATAATCATAGCGACATAGTATAATAAAAGTTTTATGAATATAGATCCCTCCATCAAATATCAAACCATACTATGTTTTCTGGTTGTTTGGGTGGTACGTATATGAAGAGACAGGTAAGATGAACTGTGTGTATAAGCATTGTGATACAGTATTCGGTATCTCCAGAGGGCCACCTGCACATAAGCATTGCTGATACCTTCAAAGTGACCACACAGACAGCATATACTGCGTGTGTACTTGGGACAGAGATACGATTCATATACCAGACAATGCAGCCTCAGACTTTATCACATTACTCTAAATTTCATACATTTTAGAACGTATTGATTAGTGCTGGAATTTTCCATTTAATCTTTTTAGGAAACCCGGATAACAAACATGGAAGGACTGTGGTGCGCCACTACCTTAGCTCCTCACTTAGCTTTTCTTGACCTGGCTTTTCATTTATGAAATGTCTGTATCGCCTTGTAGGGGTGTTTGGGGGTAAATATAAGAAGACATGAAGCAGAGCACAAGCAAGCCTGCTCTAACCTCAGCCCCTGAGTTCTAGCTCTAGTTCTTTGTGTAGCTTTCCTGATGTGGGGTGGACTCCCCAGGAAACTGGTGCTGCTTTTTCCCAGTGACTGGTCTTACAAAATTTGCGATTTTACAAAAGTCGATTTGTTCAGAATTATTCAATTAACTTGCATTTTGATTTGTTTCACCCCCCCTTCAATATCGTCGGCTCCTATTCATTTGATTTGTTGGAAATAAAAGGAAACAGTAAATATCTAAAATATTTAACTAGCTTTTGAGCTTTTAAGGAAGTTAACCTAAAATGTGGATTTACAAAATAGTAAACAATCCACTCTTAAGTCTCATCCTCAGGTAGAAAACATTTCCTTGCTCAATTTGAATTGGTGGCATTTAACACAGGAGAGAGACTAGGTAGCAGGCATACTGCCTCTTCCCAGCCCCTGGTACCCAGGAGCCAAAGGTCATGCAACCCTCACTTTCCATGTTTATTTGGTACAGGATGTGTGCTTGTTCTCAATGCTCAGTTTATTTTCTTATTTTTTCTAAATATCAAAGAAAGGCTGTATGTACTCTTCTTATCTGAGATCCCTACTTTGTAGTACCCTCAATTTGGATAAAGACATGGGAGAGTTATATATATTATCATCCTTTTAAGCAGTGGTTCTCAGCCTTCCTAATGCTGTGGCCCTTTAACACTTGTTGTAGTGATTCCCAACCATAAAATTATTTTTGTTACTAACTTCATAATTGTAACTTTGCTACTGTTATGAATTGTGACGTAAATATCTGAGGCTCAACCCCAAAGGGGTCACTGCCACAGGTTGAGACCACTGGCTCTCAAGCACAATAGTCACTAAATAGCAAAGCAAAATTTTCTGCCATCAGTTTGCCTCCTTTGAGGTTAAGAATAGCCATGTAACTCATTTTGATTTTCAGCTAAAAATTAAGACAACTATTCTTAGCTTGATTATAGAGGGACCAACCAACTTTTTGAGAATGTTTATTAAACAATCTAGCTTATACTTACAGATCGCCTTGTTTGGAATACATTTTAATGGATCTTCACATGTTCATTTAAGTTAAAATTATTTAGCTAGAAAAATTATAACTGAATGCAATAAAATACTTCAACTGTATAATTAATATATGGCTCCTTAGCTAGAGTTTAGTCAAAAGTCTTAGTATTTTTCACAGTGATTTGTGTGTGTATATATATACACACACATGCACCAAGTGAGTTTAGTGGTGGATAAGACTGCTTTCCTATTTTAGTTAGAGTGGGAATGCATTATTAGCACTGCCCTATCAGGACCCAAGTTCTCACAGTCTAGGATTGTTTCATTTACCTATGTCACTTTAAAGGGGCTGTCTGCTGTCTCTTGTTTCTGTTAGGAAATTTGATACTAGCTGGTTTACTTTCTGTTTAAATGCTAAAGAGTGTCGGTGGTGCGGGTACTCAGCAGTGGGCTCTGACCATTCTGAGTGTGGAGTGGGCCAGCGGTGCTCAGAGATTTCAAACTAAAAACAATAGCTTGCAACTGCTCCTCTCAAACACCTCCTTGGTTCTTTCAGACCCTGCCTAGTTGTTTGAGAGGAGCAGTTGAATGCTCTCTGTTATGGATGATAAGATGAGCAACTGAGGCTGGGCCATCTGAGGGCGGTGCATTCTTGTGTGTGTGGGGGGGGAGGACTTTCATAATGGCTTTCTTATGTGGTATAGGGTGGCAAGCCTCACTGACGAATGGGGTTACAATAGCGTACGTGAATTGTGCTGTTTCTAGTTCAGCCAGGGCTGTTACACAGAGAGACCCTATCTCAAAAAATAAAAATAAAAAAAAAAAAGGATAAAAACGATAGCTAACTGAAAGCAGTTTTGTCATTCTCAGTTCTTTCTGTAGCCACAAACAGGAATGAGTTTTGCTTCCTTTCACAAAAGTGTCTCAATTATAGTTTTTTAACCTGTCCTTATGAGCAAATTATCTTTCGCATAACTTTAAAGTACCCAGCACAGTCTGCATCCCTACCTTAGCTTTGTGATGTGTATTCAGTAGTAGTCCTTGATAATTTGTTAACAAGGCATTTTTAACCTTTCGGACAGATGCACATACTGTTTTCAATCTTCATGGTTAATAATTCGATTTTGTATTTGATGCTGGAACACCCTGACTCTTAATCACTGCTCATTGTTCCAAGTCTATTATCTTCTAACTGTTTGAGTGCTCCCATTGACCTTGAACTGACATTATAAGCTGTGTCTAATCTTTTGAGTCTATATTTCTAATGCTTCTTTTCTTTTTCCTTTTTTTCTGATCCCTGTTTAGCATCACAATGGGGCTGCCTCTGAGCCCCGCAGCTGACTCTGCCCGCTCTGCACGGCATGCCCTTTCTCTCATTGCCACTGCCAGACCACCCGCCTTCATCACCACCATAGCTAAGGAGGTGAGCAGCCGCCTTCATATGCCTCATCTTCCCTTTCAGCGGACCAGGGTCAGACCCACAGTTATAAAACAAAGCAAGTTAATAGCGTCGTGCTGAAATGATTGTATCACATCTGCACAGGCACTGAGTTCCACCGCTGTGCGTTCAGGACTTGGGCTTTCATGTTTTTTCTGTTCTCAGAATGAGCACACTTGTATATTTGACAGTACTTTCAATATTAAATGTAATAGGTCTGTCTATCCAAATTAAAAGGTATAAAGGTATTTACATTTCTCAAGTGTAAGCAAATACTTGTAATCAAAATTACACTTATTTAGCGATGGCTTTCCAACTGTACACAACAATGTAAGCCATCAAACTGCTGATTGCTTTTTTTGTTCTGTTTCACTACAAAGACCAGAAAGTTCATTGATTCCCGCATTCCTGGTGTTCTAACTAATTGCCCACATCCACTGACAAACTAGTGAAGAACGATGAGCCGATTCTATGTTCTTTCCTATACATCTTAGGAGTGAGAGAGGAGAAGTTCCTAAACATTTTTAAAGGTTTGTTCTATTTTGGCCTTAGTACTGTGCAGCGGAGTGTCTGTAAGGTGTGGGCTCTGTCTGAATTGCTTTTCCTATAGCTATGATGAACTTTTAAAATAGTAAATACATACCTCTGATAACTGAAGCCTACTGGGCCCGCCCCTGCTCCAGAGCCTTCCTAATAGGCACAATGTGAAAGTAGCCAGAAGAGAGGGAAGATGGTCTTGGCAGTAGTCTGTATGGTCGGTCATGAAGCAGTGGACCTGTGAATTCATATCTGAAGTAAAGTTTTGGACTACAGGTGTAGTGATAATAAGCTTCCACCGTGTTTAGTACACACAGCCTTCCTTGTTTTACACTTGTAGCAAATCTTTACGTTGAGGTTGGTTTTTCTTGGAAATTTGTAGCCAGTTTTTCCTATGCATATGTAATATTTATTATCTTGAGGAAGTTTTATATTAGTCTAAGAGATCTTTATATTACTTATATTTCTGAACTTTATTTGTATTATTTACATAGTAACATTTTTTTTAATGAAATGTTAGGATATTCATACTGAAACATTCCATTGGGGGAAAAAATTTGAATGGAGGCAAGAGAAACATTTCAAACATTTCTTTAACTACATAGAGTTTAAGCTCAGCCTGAACCACATGAGACCCTGTCTCAAAATTAATGATAATAATAATAATAATTGTGTACTAGGAAGTTGTAGATTTTATTGGACCATACTTACTTAGTTTGCATTATACATAATGCTTATTTGTGATCAAAAAACAATTCCTTACCTACCCTGAGTGATTTGTTTTTACAGTTCTGATGATTTTTTTATTTCTTTTTTCTATAATAAGTGAAAAATAAACCAGTGCCTAAAAATATAAATCTGTGTAGAGCAGCAATTTCATCTACAGTGTTGCAATTCTTTTGTAGGTACACAGACACACGGCTCTTGCAGCAAACACCCAGTCCCAGCAGAGTATACACACAACAACCTTGGCACGAGCTAAAGGGGAAATCTTGAGAGTCATTGAAATTCTCATTGAAAAAATGCCTACCGATGTTGTGGATCTTCTTGTGGAGGTGAGAATAGCTAGCTTCCAGCACACCTGTGCCTGCATTAAATACTTAAAAACAAATATTTAATAAATTTAAATTTAATAAATAAGAGGTTAAAAATAAGGGAGGAAGAAGGGAAGACCAGAGGGAGGAGGGGAGAGGGAATGTGTCACATAACTGAGATTAGTTACTTCTGTGCTATTGCAATAGGCCTTAAATCCATTTCCTCAAAACTAACATTGATTGCTGTAGCCATTCATTAACCATTCACATGGAATTGATATGTATTAGAATATTTGAAAGACTTTGTTGTCATCAACATCCATTGTAACTAAAGCCACTTCCACTGTGTGCTTGAGTAGTAACCCTACTGTGCACATGAGCACAGTGAGTTTCTACAGACAAGACCAAAGTTAACAGTAGCATCCATAGGCTTAAAATAGCTTTTATTCTTTTTAAGGTAAATACTAATCAAACTATATGGATTTGCATTGACAAAATGAGGTGCAATGGAGGTGCGTTTAAATTTTTAAAAACGAAGCATTTGAAGTTAACTTTCGCTCTGTCTTTCCTCTCAAAGGTCATGGACATCATCATGTACTGTCTTGAAGGATCTTTAGTTAAAAAGAAGGGTCTTCAGGAATGTTTTCCAGCTATCTGCAGGTAATCAAACCTTCAACAATATGCAAAGTAACTGACTTTCAGTAACAAATAATTAACATTTTAGTGAGGTAAATGAGAAAATCAGGTATTAATCATCATTTGATTACTTTCTAGAAAAATTCTGCAGTTTTGTGATAAGAACACAGAAATAATAGAACTAGTTATTTAATGAGTTCATAAAGACATTTTGCAGACAACTTAAAAGTACATTGCATATGTCTGTCCTCTCAGTCTACTCAGATTGTTTTTTATTTTACAAAATACCTAGAACACTGCTGACTTAGGAAAAAACATACTTTCCAGCAACAGAAATCAGTAGGCCACCTTTTCACTAGTAAACTATTTTATTTATCTATTTATTTTGCGTCCTGTCCACAACCTGCCCCCATCCTTCCCTCCCAGTCCCTACCCCCTATCCCCACCTCGCTGCCCCACTCCAACCCCCCAATTTCCTCCTCTCCTTTTCCTTCCAGGAAGGGCAGGTCCCCCGTGAATATCAGTAAAAGGTGGTATATCAAGTTGCAGTATATTTCAAGAATGATGGGAGTCTTTTCACTGCATCCTCTTAATGCGAGTCTATTTCCCCTGTGAAGAAGCAGGAAAGAGGGCAAGAAAACTAAAACCTTGTGAATGGTACTAAATGAATAAATTTAACTTAGAAGTTCTGTGTTAAATATCACATACATTTATATAACATGGAATGAAGATTGCTTTTGCATCGAAATAGAGTACACTGTGTTTATCTCTTTAATTAAATTTTTGGGTAAAGGTTCTTGTCCCATGAGCCTGACCACCTGAGTTCGTTCCTTGGGACCCGCATGGCTGAGTGAGAAAACTAACTTCTACAAATTGTTCTCTAACTTACACACATAATCATTGTCATCGTCGTCATTGTAGTAATCATCATAATTCATACATAGTTTTTGTCTTGTTTTCTTTTGTTTTTCGTGATAGTGTTTCTCTGTGTAACAGCACTGGCTGTTCTGGAATTCACTCTGTAGTCCAGACTGGCCTCAAACTCAGAGACCCACCTGCCTCTGCCTCCTGAGTTTTGCGTTTAACCAATTTTTAATTGGTTCTAAAATGTTTATAATTTGGAGCACTTTGGGTTTTTTTGATGTTGTCTGTAGAAATAGTACTTGAATCTGTCATAGGTAATTTTTCTCAGAGCACTCAGCTACTCAAAATTAGATGTAATTCTTTTTCTTTTAAACAAGTTCAGTGACAGCCTCCTTCTCTTTGCGTATTCCTCTAAATACAATGCAGCATAAGCAGTAGTCGGCAGAAAGATTCCTGAGGACAGGGGCGTCAGCATGCCACTTCTCTGGTCGCTTCCTAACATTTTCGCAACTAGCGTGCTGAATGGCTGATGCTTCGTTTTTCTCTGTATCTATATTTTTCTTATATTCAGTAGAACTTATACACTGTTCTCTCATTTTGCAGTTTGATTCTGCCACCTAGACGTTAAAATGTGAGCAAGATTAAATTAGGATGCAGTCACTTTTTAGCATTGGCTCTTTTGTGTCATTAACCGATTCTGACTACACCTAGTTGTTATTTCCCTGCCGATGCTCTTTTAAAGAGATGCCCAGATGAAAATGAAGATGATAAGAGAGTGGTTGTACTGGGACTTAACTCACTGAGTGCTTGTGGAGTTCTTAAAGCACTAGCCACTGCTATGTAAATTAGCTTCCTGGAGTTCAGTGCAGAAGCTGTTTGCCAAGGGATCTGTTTCCCAGCTTCCCAAGAGCCCCCTCAAGCACCTCCTTAGGTTACTGTTTCTGCTGACATCCATGTCTGTTGACTTAGTCATCCTGGAAAGAGAATGCCGAGATGCCTAGCAGATTTGTTCTTACTGAACACTATGTGTACATGTTTTTCCCCTCTGATTTACCAAAAAGCAATTGCACGTTGTTTAATGATTTAATAGTATCTTATTGAACACAAACTTTGTGTCATGTAGCTATTCTCTGGGGAAGTAATGATAGACTAGGAAACTCTGTGCTCCAGGATGACAGTGACTGATGGGGAGGAGATTGCATTGGTTCTTTGGACTGTGTAGTATGCCTGGTAGACGTCCTACCAGGGGCAGAGTTGGGCAGAAATACAGTGGTCATTTTAGTATATGGAATATAAGAAATTTCAAAGGGAGAATGTAGAAGAATAATGGTGTCTATTAAAAATGCCATCATGAGGGGGCTGGAGAGATGGCTCAGTGGTTAAGAGTACTGACTGCTCTTCCAGAGGACCCGGGTTCAATTCCCAGCACCCACATGGCAGCTCACAACTGTCTGAAGATCCAGTTGCAGGGGATCTAACACCTTTGCACCAATGCACATAAAATAAAGTTAAATAAAAAAAAAATGCCATCATGAAAATGTCTGCCAGGTAAACAAAGGGATCTGTGCTCTGGGAGAACTGGAGTGATGATTGGAGGAGCAGTAGTGGGTCGTAGGAACGTTTCAGAGAGCTGGCCAGGTGGCCTTTGTGAAAGGAAAAGGTGTGTAGTGCCCTGAAAGGCGGAGTGAGAACCAGACTGCTAAGTGTTTCCAGCCGTAGAAGGCTACAGTAAGTTTGGCCATGCCATGTAGTAGGGTGGTTAGGATATAGACTTTGCATAGAAGGATAGAGCCTGTTTATCTTTCTGTTGTAGAACCATAAACAGGCCCTATCCTTCTATGTGAAGCCTGTATTCTTACCACCCCACTATGAACCTTCATCCAGTAACTGATGGAAATAGATACAGATATCCACAGCTAAGCACTGGGCCAAACTCCTGGAGTCCAGTCAGACAGGGAAGAGAGATTATATGAGCAAAGGGGACAGGATCATGATGAGAAAACCCACAGAGCCAGCTGACCCAAGCTAGTGGGAGCTCACTGACTGTGGACTGATAGCAGGGGAACCTGCATAGGACTGAACTAGACCTTCTAAATGTGGGTGACAGTTCTGTGTCTTGGGCAATCTGTGGGGCCATTGGCAGTGAGACCAAGATTTATTCCCAGTGCATAAACTAGTTTTTTTGGAGCCCATTCCCTATGAAGGAATACCTTGGTCAGCCTAGATGGAGGAGGGGAGCTTGATCCTGCCTCAACTTGATATGTCAGACTTTGTTGACTTCCCATGGGAGTAAGATGGGGAGGGGTAGTAGGAGGAGGGGCGGGAGGGGGAACTGTGGTTGATATGTAAAATGAAAAAACTTTTAAATAATTTTTTTAAAAAAAAAAGCATAGAGCCAAGCCAGGGCTCTGAGTTCCCCACAGAAGACTTTGACCTTATTTAATAAGCAATGGAGAGTTAGAAAAGTTTAAACAAAACATTGAAGCTATAATCATAGATAAGATGTAGACTTTCATTGTAAAAAAAGTACTTATACTTTTTAGCAAAATAAAAAGTATTTTAGATAGAAGAGTTAAAAGTTTATGTTTTCAGAAATGATTTGGCTTTTCTTAAACTATGTTATTATGTAGACAGACCGATTGATTTTCCTTTTCAAGTAAGAAGCTGAATCAGCTCATTTCACCCTAAATGGGCACTTAAACTCTAGTGAAAAATTGCACACTGTCTACTTCAGCACTGAGTGAGCTCATGTTCAAGTGACTCCTCTAAACTTGTGGCTTGTTCTTAGCCTGTTCAGTGAGAACAGCGATACAACATAGAACAGCTTCTACCATAACTTCCAGTAAAATCCTTAAATTAGTAGTTATTTTATACTGTAATTTGATACCAGATGATTAAAGATGCTGCTCATACCCCTACTAGTAGCAATACCTCCCATTACTTTATTCCTGTTCCTCACACCTAAAAATCTACTTAGCAGGTTCTTTTGAGGTATTAAAACTTTTCATGTTAAAATAAACCAAAATAGGACCTGGGTGCATTCAGTTCTAGAACAACTTACATGTGTGACTCCTCGGGTTTCATATTATCAAGTAGACTCATGGATATTATAACTCTGGGCTGTCTACCTATATTTTGTAGTACAAAAGGAGAAGTTGATTTTAAGTTTGTTTAAAATAATATAAAGTATGAAACTTTAAGCTGGGTATTGTGGCTCATGCCTGTAATGCCAGCACTTGAAAGGTAAAGCCATGAGAATGAGGAATTAAAGCCAGTCCTTATGTAGATAATGAGTTCTAAGCCAGCCCAGGTTATGTGAGATTGTCTCTCAAAAGTCAAAACAACAAAAAGGGCCCACAATATGTTTTATTTTAGTTAGCACAGTTTGGAAAAAACTAAAATAATTTGTAATTAATAGAAGTTTATACTTGCAAAGCATTAAGTCTTTAAAAATATATAAATTTGAACTAAGCATTCATTTTCATATTCAATAGAATAACTTTAGTCACCACGTATTGCCATACCTACTAACCTTGTTCATCATCACTAGCACATTGAATAGTACAGATGATGATGATGATGATGATGATGATGATGATGACAACCAGTCATGCATTTGCCATAAATAGAGCTCACCAAGTGCCTAACCCTCTGCTAAGCACTTTATTAGTATCAACTCATTTCTATTTCATACAACTATAGTAAATATTATTTCCATTTTTCAGATGAAGACACTAATGAATAATAATTTAAATAATTTGCCATGGTTATACTATTAGTAAGTATAGAACCAGACAATGAGGTTTCCATTTGTCAACCATTACATAATACCAAGACATGCCTAGTAATTTTTTTTCAAGTATTATGCCATATGCGCAGCCCCAGAAGCATTTCCTATCTTTTCTTTACCACCCTAGCCATAGTAGGCTATACTATTGTTGGGAGCAGTGAGACCCCAGATCCTGAATTTCTTGTAATCCCCTGATCTGAGTGCCTACAGCTGCTCTGAGCATGAGACCTTCAGGAGTTCCTGATGGCAGGAGAGTGGTTTCTGGTGGGTTTGGCTGGGGCGTGGCTATCTCTATATAATCTGCCCCTGAACACATAAGGGGGCATTCTTGGAGAATTCAAGGATGACCCGTGTCGCTATCTCTCTGTCT